CTGTGCGTGCCTTTTCTTTTGTGGTACATAAATCAGCTGTGCTTTACAGTTGACGGTGTCTGTGAAACACAGTGAAGTTCTCACTATTCAGATGAGGGAACGGAGGCCCAGGGTGGTTACACAACCTACCAAGGGGTAGGAGGCGGGGCCGAGGCCCTCAGGTGCGTCTGCCTGCACATCCCAGCTCTCGGCCAGTCTGTGTCGCACGTTTCGTCGCTCTGTTTTTGACGTGAGAGTGTCAACCTCATCTGCCGTAAGGGTGGCCAAACGCAGAGAACGCACACACAGACGTTTGGGTCCGTCCTGAGCACAAGTCACTCTGAGCCTCTCAAGCCGACGACTGACTGACGACCGTGAGAGCAAAGAGCCCACATTCCTGTGTTCTTTCTACTCAGGCGACCGTTTGCAAATTGAAATGATGGGCTCTTCCTGTCTCTTTTAAGAAATATTCATTATCTCAGACAAGACCTGGGCCTCGTGTCTTTTTCTAGAGTTTCGAAATGAAAATCAGATGTCATATAAACATGCAAGATGATGACAATGTCTGTGTTAATTGAGTCGGGAAAAAAGTAATAGAATAAGACGTGAATCTGAGTTCAAGGATGTCGCGGGGAAACAAGCAGAATATTCGCAGCTTTTGTTCCCTGCAGTGTCCCCCAAAAAACACTGTGGCCCACATACGAGCACAGGTACCATCGTTTCAGCTCAAATGGTGATGGGGAGGCTCACTACATGGCTCAAATACCCTTTTTTATTTGCTTCTTGCCGCTCGTAAATATATTCAGTTATTCCAATAAAATCGCGTCGAAGCCACTTCTACGCAAAGGACAGCATTTCCTGCCCTTGGAGGGCATCCTCCCTCCTTGTCCCCGAACTTACTTCTAGTGCTACCTTCTTATTTTGCCGGAAGCAGAATGTACGATAAAGGATATCAAACGTAATCAGCCCGTCACATAATCACATCGAGCACAGACAGTAGCATTTGACAATAGGAAATTGGGTGAATTAACGGAAATGGTTTCAGCCCCACGCTTTGTAATTAGACAGATAATAATAATAACATTATTATTTGCCTAGATGCTGCCATGCATTTACTACAATTGTTTCTAATTTATGAGAATCACTGATGCCAAAGAGCGCTTAAATTTATCTGCATGTTCAAATGAGTCGAAAGTGTACGCACACGTATTCGCCAATTTAGAGGCTTTTTGGTGACCTTCTGAGCTGCACGCAGCTGCTTCTTTGCTCTCAGCGGCCTTCGAGTGCTGCTCTGAGAAATTCTGCAAATGAAAATCAGTGGCCACACCTATTTCAAGAGCCCAGGACAAAAGGCGCACGGTGGACAGAAACCCCATGTTGAGTTTTCTAGGCTGAGTCTGTCTTGTATTTCTTTGGACCAGACTTTCCCCAGGAATTTCCGTGGCGTCACCGCCACCAGCATCTTCCCAAGCGGTCTGGGTGCTCTATCGTCACAGGTTACTCCTTCTCTTACGGGAGGCAGAAAACGTGACGCATCAGATGCTACGGTCGTGACCACCCAGAAGTTGACGGGTACGAGGCAGAACACACAGGGGACACGAGAGTGATGACGAACACAGGCGCCGGCGTCACGCGACCCCACACCTGCCCCTTGCTCCCCGTGCGGCTCTCGCTCAACCTCCCCAGGCCTCAGAGTCCTCGTTTCTGCACTATCACGGGGATCAGTGGAGACAGTACAGGTGACACAGCGCCCGGCACGTGGTTAGCCGCTCGGCCGGCGTTAACGAGCAGGAAGGAGGACGGGGTGCCCGGCACGGGGCTAGAACGCTCGTGATTGGTTGAAGACCTAGCTGAGGGAGGGACGCCGAGAGGCTCCGCACAGCAGCCCTTTGGAAGGGACGCAGCTTTCCTGGGACACACGGCAGGGGACAAACTTCGGGACGGGTTCCCTTGCAGCTTCTGCCATGGACCACGGGTATCACTCAATGCCTGGAGCCTCGTTCCATCTCGTTAGACTCTCCTCGCTTTCCCGTCTGATTACCTCTGAGACGTCCCCCCACCCTCTGGGTTCGGGGTTCCTCCTGACTCGCACGCTGCTGGACACACGCCTTCAACGCTCAGACTTCCATTTCCTCTCGCCCGCCCTGGCCCAAAGTCACGCCTCCGCCCGCTGGCCTCCCGCAGCGCCTTACCCGCACCGCGTATCCTTGGCCGTCTGTGCCACCTCTCACTGGGCGGTAAGCTTCTGGAAGGCAAGGGCTGCATCGCCATGGTTGTCCCAACCTGGAGCTCGAGGCCACGGCGGGGGCCCTTCCTTCCGCAAGTGGCGGTCGCTTCCCCCAGGACTCCCGTCGCCAGCAGAGGGCGCTGCAGCTGCGATGCTGCTGGTAAGCTCCGCTACACAGTGACAGTGAGGTTGCTTGGGTTTGGGAAAGACGTCGAAGGGCTGGGGGACAACCACTTCCTGCCCTGTCCCTGGAGACGTAGAAAAAGAGATGGAAGAAAGATGAAAATGGAAGAGGCAGGCGAGGGGGGTCACTTCGTGAGGTATAGAAATGTCTAATCGCTATGTCGTGTGCTTGAAACTAATATAATATTGTATGTCAACAGCAATTTAAAAATGAAAATATTTAAAATAAATAAATAGGCAAGGAGAAAAAAGAGAAGAGAGAACTGAGTATCTGGGGACCCGCTGGCCCTCGGGTGCCAGGAGAGTTTTAACAACCCCTCTAGCTGCTCCTAAGGCTTGCCCAGCTCTGAGACCCCCCACCCCCGCCCCAGGCGAGGGCATGGTAATGAGTGTTGGGTCCAATTCATGATGGGAGACAATGAACTTGTCTTGAACTTGAAAAAGAGAGACTAGAAAGAAGCTGGGCTTGCAAGACAAGATGGCAGAGCGCCTGGTTCAGGACAATCTTGACTCCGCGAAGGACTAGCTGGCTCTGCGGTCTTGGGATGCGGGGAGGAGCTGACAAAGGCTGCAGCAGCCCCCACTCGCTCCTCCACGCTCCGCCATGAGCACACGGGGTCCGCAGCGCCCACCCGCCCAGCCTGATTCATTCACGCACTGAATCATCGTCTCGGGGGACGTCCATGATTTGAGCATTCCGTGCACAGGAGAAGCGTAAGTCAGTCACTGCCCCGACTCCCAAGTTACTCGTGCTCTGGAGGGGAACACAGTCCGGCAAAATATAATTCTGATGCCGTGGGATGAGGAACGGACATGTGAAAACTAAGCACTCGCTCCCTGAACGCAGAGGAAGAGCCACTCACCTGCCCGGTCCCGCGGGGCGAGCATTCATGCAAACTGCATCGTTCACTCACACATGACCTCACGAGCTAAGATTCTCTCCGTCCCCCAGGGAAGGAACGGAAGCTCGGGGAGGGGAAATGACGCCTGTAAGGACACACAGCCCCTAAGGACAGGCCCAAGCTGGCATCGAGTTTCCCAGCTGATTCCGGCCCCCTGTTCTCTGGGTGGCGGGGCCTCTGCCCAGGCTCTTCCATGCTTTGTGGCACCGATACTAAGAGACAGCAAGGGGGCCCGAGCCAAGCCGTCCGACTTTGCTTCGAGGGACAGCACTCCACTTTTTGAGAGATGCAGAGAGAGGATGGAAATTCTTTTTCCAAATTAAATCTACATTTTTTTTTAAGTGATAAAAGAGTTTATGCAAAATAATATCTTTCTCTGCTCACTGGCCTCAGACATGTGCCGGGCAGGACTGGAAATGGCCTGCCCATGAGTCCCAGCTTGAACCTTTGACCAGCTGCGTCACCTTGGGCCACTCACGTCAGTGAGCGCCCCCAAACCCTGAGATTTAACGACAGGCTCCTCCAGCCGGGCTGAGCAGACGTCAGCACACAGCTGCTCGGCTCCCCAGCCTGCCAGATTTTTTACATCCCTCCTACGACCCGTTTCCTTCCTTATAATCCTTCTTCTTTCCTCATGGATTTCTCGAAATGGGCCAGCTCTGACCCGTCATCCTCTCCGCTCCGGCCCCTGCCCCACTGCCCGTTCCAGCTGTCCCGAGCAGAACCTTCCCGGCCTCCGTGTGCTGCCCGCTTCCCCACTCCTCCCACGTGCGGGAGGATCTGGTACCACAAGACACGCATGAGATCAGGACAGGGTCCGGTCCGTGTCTCATGCAGGAGCGGCAGCCTGCAGGCCCGCTCCCAGATTCGAAGACTAGATATCGACCCATGGAAGACGCCTGCGATGGGAAAATACCCAGGAGTCTGCACAAAGAAGGGAGGCCTAGCCCAGCCGTGCGTCTGGAAGCCTCCGGTCTCCCCTTCCTCAGCTGCCGTGATGTTACAGAGAGACAGGCCTCGTACCCAAAGCTCTGGGCCAAAGGGGCCAGAACAGAGCTTATGCTTCTGGGTCATGGAGAAAAGCTGCCAAAATGTGATTAAGCTTTTTGAGTTAGAACTTAATAAAAAATGCCTCTGCGATCGGTTTCCATGGTTGTCCGGTGAATAGAGAGAATACAATTATGGGAAACACAAAAGGCGGCTCAGAGCTCCGGGAAGGACACAGGGCGTATTCCTTCTACTATTCGTGCCCGTGGTTTTATGCCACGGACCCGCTCAAAAGTCTGGAAGATGCTGGCGGGAGCATTTTCCTCCCAAATCCTGAGCAGGTATGAACCTTCTAAGGAAAGACAAGACCTGGATCTTGAGGAAGATGTGACTCCCCACCAGGGAGCTTACCGCGTCTTCCGAGACGGCTGGCTTGGAGAAGACAGTGGGCAACGGTGCTCTCGCGGGCTCCGAGGTCTGAGCAGACTTCGTTCTCGGGGTCTCTGGCCCTGGGGAAGGTCCCACTGCTGTTTCCGTTTCTCCTCTTGGCCCCCCAGCCCGGCAGGCAGCTATGGAGCAGGACCTGGGGTGGACGAGACGTGGGAGGTGGGCGGTAAAGGTCGCCGGGCTAGGTGGCCACGTGGACGAGTGAAGAAGGCTGAGTTCAAGTCCCACCTGCTCCTTCCTTCCCCAGGGGCTGCCTCCCAGTCCCTTCTCTCTTCCTGCACCTGCTCCACTTGTGAGTCCTGTCCCCTTGCCCTGAGATGACAGGCAGACAGAGTTCCAAGCTCCTTAACCTCTCTGTGCCTCGGTTCCCTCATCGGTAAGACGGGGGTGACAGGAGTAAGTACTGGAGTTTAAGAGGACTAAGGCGCTAACATGTGAAAAGCATCTTAACTGAGCCCTAGTTTGTCTGTGACTGTTTCGGTAACCCCTTCACTTACATCTAAGAGTGTCCTCACTCTGTCACAGCCAAACAGGGCGTCCGTCCCGCACCCCCCACGCCCTGGTCCTTGCCCATGGGTCCTCTGGCATCCATCCAGGTACTCTGGCTGGATTTCCCACCTTCTAATAGCATCATAGTTTCGCAGTTCCCACGGGGTCCTGCATCCAGCTGGATGGAACCTCGCAGGTGGGTGAGGGGGGTCAGCTGCACACACGCGTCGGCAGAGCCAGCACCACTGGAACCAACCCCGGGGATGCGGTGGGAGGGCGGTGGGGGGGATTGGAGCCTCTTCCACCCCCTGCCACCGGCCCCGATCACCAAGACCACCGTCTGCCATGGGGCCAATAGGACAGAGGCAAAGCCGGTGGCCGCAGAGGGCAAAGCCCAGGACTGGACCTCGTGAGACCTGGCCGCAGCCACTCTGGGCAGCGCTCACGGCCAGAGGCAGCAGACAGCGTAGGGTTGTGAGCATCGTGTGTCCTGACGATGCGTAGTCAGGACACACGCACCCCCGGATGTGTGCGGGCGAGAGGCCCTGGGTTGTACACGCAGAGAAGACAGAGCACGGAAGCCACCGTGTCCTTTGACATGAGTGTCACGAAACCCTCAAGAAGACTCTCTGAGGCGAGGAGCTGGTGGGAAATGCTGTGTTCTCTTAGACCCCGGGATGCAAATAAGAAATAACTGACTGTGTCTGAATAGCTCTATGCACATGTGATGCACGTCTGAGCAGGTGTGAGCATCGGTATGTGTTTCTTACGGCCCCTCTCCCAGAGGCGGGCCATGACTTCCAGGGTCTCGAAGGAGAGAGGCAGTGGAGGCCCCGTGTCCAGAAGCACTGGCTGCGGCTTCCGTTCCTGGGCTACGCACAAGCACCGGGCAGATCAGTGATGATAGACAGACAGACGGACCAACAAATGCACGGAGGTAGAAATGAAGAGAGAAATGAAAAAATACCCATTAGTACGTTGGGGATGGGGCCAGAGACAGAGCCGGGGAGAGAGGGAGGGAGAGGCAGGCAAACCGAACGAGAATTCAAATGAGCAGTTAAAACAGTGTCCTTGGTAACTGCAGCATAATCTCATTCACACAAACGGGGTGCGCACGTGCGTGTGTGTGCACGTGTGTGTATGTGCATGTGTGTGTGCGTGTGTGCATGTGTGTGTGCATGTGTGCATGTGTGCACGTGTGTGTATGTGTGCATGCGTGTGCGTGTGCGTGCATGCGCGTATGCGTGTGCACGTGTGTGCATGCGTGTGTGCGTGCATGTGTGCACGTGTGTGCGTGTGTGTGCGTGTGTGTGCATGCGCGTGTGCATGTGTGTGCGCGTGTGTGTAGGGAGACAGACAAGAATGATGACAAAAAGGTAATGGTGATTCTCTCAGGTCATCGGATTTCAGGGACTTTCATCATTTTATACTGTTTTGTACTGCTTCATTTTTTTTCTCCCAACAAACATGGATTATTTACATCATCGGCGGGGGGCGGAGGGGAAAATCTATTTTCACCGAGGAAATGAAAGAACCCATTTATCACTTTTATCAGCTTTACATATTGTAGCGGAACAGAAGGTTTTATTTGAAAAAAGCGTTCTGCAAAGCACCGCCCTGAATAATACTGCCTCCCTCCCCACCCCAACCCCACGGGATTCCGGAAGAACAGATTAATATCTCTGTTTGCAGCAGGGGAAATGAGATTTTAAAAAACGCATAAGCAATTGTTTTTTGAATTAAAACACATTGAAATTTATAATTTACAGGACAGACTACCACGGGCAGCCACAGGGGGCATCCAGCTCATGGATGATTTTATTAGGCTCACACAGCGCTGAAAAAATGAATTAGTTCACAACATACAAGACCAGAACTCTCTTAAAATCTTTGGAGATCAGCTTTCTCCAAACTCCTGGCAATACGGGGCCCACTTTCCCATATGAAAAAAATCACGCAGAGTCCAGTGGTGGCTGTCCCCCTGGGCTGGGACTCATGGTCTCCAGCTCCCACACTTGACCTGGACCCTCCATCGTGACAGCTGCCTGGTACCTGCCATCATTCTAGGTGGCTGCCCTGATTTACTGTGATACGAGGGACAGGGAGGGCCAGTGGGGGGCCCTGGGCTCACTCTGACCGCTCAGGCAATGAGTGAACCAGAACCGGAGTCGGTGGCTCCACTCCCGTGGGACCTAAGATCTCCAGGTAGGTGGAGCCACGTTCCCAAACGAGAGCTGCAGGGGCAGCACCCGAGCCCACGCGGCCGGCCATGCGATCTGTGTGGCCTTCAACGGCAAGGATGCTCGTCTGCCCCCAAGGGTGGCCAGCACGACCTTGAGGGTCACACACACAGTGTGAGCCCGGCCTGGCCGGCCCCCCTCCATGGCGGCCAGGGGAGCAAGGGGACCCCAACCCCTTCCCTCCACGAATGTACCTTTGCTAAGCGCCCCCTTCCCCAGCATACCTTCCAGGTGACGCGGAGTTCCCTCGAGGCCCCGCCGCCCGCCAGCGGCAGCGCCGGTCCCCAGGCGCCCTCCTCGGCTGCACGCTCCCTCTCAGCAGCAGCTCAGGCAGCGGCTCTGTCCCAGGCGTGTCCTGGACTCTGCTCGTTCCGTCTCCCATCTTCTGTGTCCTTCTTCCCTCACCTGTCACCTGCTCCGACCTACCAGGCTGGCCTGAGCCAGCACTGTCGGAACGGACAGTCTGGTTCCAGAACGTTCTCAGCCTCTGTCAGCATGTGCCCTAAGCTCGGTCCCAAGCAGATGCTGCCAGTCTGCACCGTGCAGTCCCCACTGGACTGCTCCTAGTCAGCACTTCAGACTCAGGACCAGGAGGGCCCGCTGGCCTGTCCCCAGCACTGGGCCTGCTGCTGCGGTGGAAGGGGCTTTGCCTGCCGATTTAAAGAATGAAGAAGAGTCTCTTTGGAGCTGAATTCTTCCTGGAAGAATCCACGTGATCACTCAGACATCATTATTCTTCCCTGAAAAATGCCCAAGAGGCCAGGGGCCCTTCCTGCTAAGTTTTAGGTGTTTAAGCTCCACCTGCGGGCTGCTCTACGTCAATCAGGCATCTCGGGGGAAGCTGACGACATCTGCACTGGAGTAAGAGGGAAAACGCGACGGCCTCCCTGCAGATGCCCACGGCAGTCCGTGTAGGCCTAGGACAGGTGTTCGGGAACAGAGCCAGGAGGTGTGTGGAGCGACAGAACTTCCCTCTGGGGGTGTCGCAGAATGAGTTCTCAGGAAAGTCTTCTGGGGCCTGGCTGGTGGGCTGGTCTGAGGCCGTCTGAACTGAGTGTGAGACCCAGAGACAGGAGCCCAATTGGAGACCCACAGAGATTCATCCAGAGCCCGGAAACGTGGCCACATCCTGAGGGATGAGCACCTGGAAAGACCACACGGGCAGATGCTGAGGGACGGCAGCCAGGGACGGGCAGACAGGTGGACGGGGCAGGCGTACAGGTGGATGGGACAGGTGGACGTGGGGCGGGGGACAGGAGGACAAGACAGGTGGACTGGGGTCCGAGGACCAGTGATACACCCAGCACATGGGCAGTGGGTCCTTGTCACACGGCACGTGTGGGTGATTACATCGTTTAGCCCATAATTGTTCAATCAACTCAGAGAACGATCAGCAAAACAATGAGTGACCTCACTGGATGTGGAAGACTGTAATATCCTTCTTGTCCTTCGAGCGTGACAGGAGCTGTTTCTCCTGGCGTATAGAAATGAAATTCACGCTTGAGAGGATTAAAGAAGGAAGGCTGATGGTCTCGAATGAAACAAACTACATACTTCTAAAGGAACATTCCTCTTCAATTGCTCTATCATCTTCGACCCGTTTCAGAGTTTGAATGAGAACCCCCATTTTGTTATTGCTTTTGCTGTGAACAGAGTGTCTGTGTCACAAAGGAGGGGTGACATGATGTCTCAGTCCCTGACATTTAGGGATCTCGTGATTTTCCATCTCGACAATCTGAGCCTTCTGTTTGTATATTATTGATCATAGAATTACAAACTAAAGCATAAGCCTTAGGAGGTACACATTTTTAGAGCATGCAGCTAGAGTGAACCACGCAGGTTTACTTAAAGGAGATGCATTTGCTCAAGAGAATACATGCCAGTTCTCTGATTACGAGACAAATGTCATGGCCTGAGTTCTTCTAAATTAGGTTTACTAAGCTGCAGACCACACACTGAGTGCATATCGATGGGCTGTTGAGTTTTCGGTTTTACTTAGTATCACTAGGAATAAGTGTGATGAAGCCACACTTAATATTTTAGTTGACAGCACGGGAACTGAGCCTAAGCAAGCTTGCTGGAAATTAAAAACTAAATGGCAGCCCACGAACCCCTCTTACTCAGGCACAAGTCATTTCTCTTCCATGTTCCATTTCCCACCTCAATCGAGTATTATCTTTTTCAAGTATTCCTCTCTAAGTCTGAAATCACCGATCTCTAAAACTGAACGGCCATAAAACCCAAATTACCCCACCTACCCTTGACTGCCATCGTCTGTGGCTCCGCCTGTCACTCCGCCTGTCACTCGAGTTTGCCTTTCCCGGGCATGGAAACAGTCTCCAAAGAACAGTGTGGCCGATTCAGAACTTCACCACTTTCAGCACAGAGCTGCCTTGCCATGAGTTTTAATCTGTTGAGTCTGTGTCTTTCATTGAGAACGCATTCGGCTTGTCCTTCTGATACATGAATTTAACCTCCCTCCCGCAGACTTAGAAACGTCTCCGGTGGCTTCCCATAAATCAGTTCCCAGACGTCAGTTCTGCTGAGCTCAGCGCCGAAGCTGAAAGCGTAGGGGGAAAGTTTAGGAAAACTCACATTCGTTCTCCACCTCATTTGACACCAGAAATCGCTTCTCATGATACAGCAGATCAGTATTCCCTTCAGACCAGTGGGATGTGGGACCATCCATCACTGTAATTCACTGCATTGTACGGAAAGGGTTTTCGCTGCTGTGCCTCAGTTATCCCAGCCGGCTGAGGCTAACTGCAGCTTATCTGTAAACGTGCATGAGCAGCACGGGAGTCACCCGACTTCGATATTGACAGGGAAGTGCGTAGAACGGGAGTCAGGACACCCAAGGTCAAGTCCTTGGATGGATGGATGGATGGATGGATGGATGGATGGATGGATGGATGGATGGACAGATGGATGGACGGATGGACGGATGGATGGATGGATGGATGGATGGACGGACAGATGGATGGACGGATGGATGGATGGAAA